CCTACAAGGGAAAAATAGTTTCCTACCAGGGAAAATTATTTTCCTACGAGGGAAAAATAGTTTCCGACGAGGGAAAATTATTTTCCTACGAGGGAAAAATAGTTTCCTACGAGGGAAAATTATTTTCCTACGAGAGAAAATTATTTTCCTACGAGAGAAAATTATTTTCCTACGAGGGAAAATTATTTTCCTACGAGGGGAAATTATTTTCCTACGAGGGGAAAATAGTTTTCTACGAGGGAAAAATAGTTTCCTACGAGGGAAAATGATTTTCCTACGAGGGAAAAATAGTTTCCTACGAGGGAAAATTATTTTCCTATGAGGGAAAAATAATTTCCTACGAGGGAAAATTATTTTCCTACGAAGGAAAAACAGTTTCCTACGAGGGGAAAATGATTTTCCTACGAGGGGAAAATAGTTTCCTACGAGGGAAAATTATTTTCCTACGAGGGGAAATTATTTTCCTACGAGGGAAAAATATTTTCCAAAAAATTTCCCCAGATGCTGATAGATTTTCAAAAATTTCCCCGTACGGCCGTACGCGCACACGGGTAGATTCTGCACCTCTGGTTTCCTGACGAAATATGCTGTTTTCATATTTGACCTAATAGAAAAAATGATTAAAATGATATTCTTTATTTAGAACAAGTAATACGAAAAATACATTTAATAGAAGGATGTGGGTGTGCGTGTAGGAAAACTACACCCACACCCAGTTGGATACAAATTATATGAGAAAAAAAACTTCAATCTAGAGGCCACAAGTAAATGAAGAAGCACTAGATAAACTGGCATCAGCTGAAACAATAGATTGATATATGAAGTTGAATAAAAAAAAATGGTCTCCTTCTTCATGATTTTACAAGTTTTTAATATGATATCTTGACCTCATTATTCACAAAATATAAAACAAGAAAGAAAAGCAAGCCATACATTTGATCTACTATAATGGTTGAATAGCTTGAAACTACTCAAAAAAAAAATTTTTTTAATAGATTAGAAATATGTATCCACTTAGATTAGTGAATGAGTCATTGAATTATATATGCCAAGTTTGACTTTTTCTCCTTTCTTGTTATATATTTGTTGTATACTGAAGAGATGGTCTTGTATCAAAAGGTTGTAATGATATGAAAAACAAATGTATTCCTTTTTAGATTCAACAACATATATCTATTCATATAGGGATGCTAGTTGCTTCTAAAAACTGGGAAAAAGCAAAATATTTCTACCACAGTTTTAAATTTTTGAGGCAGGGTCAAAAATGACCCTGGCCGGTACTACTAGAGTTAAAGGTGAAGTATTAGCATCATATAATGATTCAATTCTATCAACATTACAAACTCATATTGCCTTATTAAAATTATCAAGTCAATCATTAAAAATGACAAAATTAAAAAGTCAAAATCTTCGTTTAGTTCTATCAACATTAACAACAGATTATGGATTCGAAGATATTTATGACAATGTATTATTTATTGAACAATTAAATACAAGAAGATTCTCATATGAAAATTTATTTACTAGTTCAATTGATGGCTATAACAAAAGTCTAACTATTAAATATATTTGATTAACTGGTCAAACTGTTGATAATTTGATATATTCAATTAATTTTCTTTTTATAAATATTACTTCTCAACAATTAATTAATAAATTATTATCGAATAATACAAATATTAATGAATCTGATTATACGATTGATTATAATAAAAAGTTAAAAGTTGTACGTACTTCAATATTAAATGATCGTAGTAAATTTTTAAATGAAAATTTTTTAACATTGATTACACCATGGCAATTAAAAACAACAAAAATTGCATTAAATATTTTACGTTTTATTGCTGCTAGTAAAATTAATCCACAAAAATATCGAATGTTATCATATGTTAATCTTGAAATAATCTCACCTACAGTGAATCATAATAAAACTCATGTTTCTCAACTGCGGACTCTTCCAGAGAAAATTTTGGCTTTATCCAAGGCCGTTTCAGCTGCTGCCAATGCTTGGAAAGATATTGTGACTGCATTTAAATCAAGTAGTTCTACTACAATTACACGTATTGTACGATTTGATTTTACCTATTTTTCTCAGAAATCAGCAGTTTTAAAAGAGATTGATATATCAGCTGATAAAGCAACAGAATTTATTAATGCAGTTATTATTGATTATAATTTACTATCAAAAGGTAGTTTTATGCTTGGTTTAACATATTCCGATGATTTTTCTTGGGATCGTATTGATTATCTTTATTCTCCATCAAATAATGGAAATTATCGTTCTTTAACATTGTTTAAAAATGGTGATAGTTTAACTAATACTACTTCATTTTTTATTGTTGATATCAATGCTGATTAGCAATTAGCACCTAATTTATTAATAATACAAACATCAAAAAGTTATCTAGGTGGTCCTTTTGAAAGGAACAAACAATCCTTACAAGAAGCACCACATGTTTTAACTATGGATGAAGCTGTCAAATTACAACAATTCTTTATGCTTGTAGCTATGGGTAATTTAGCTTCAACAATAGGTGCTAATGTCACTCTACCACAATTGAATTAAAACTATCAAATACAAACAATATTATTCAATGAATATACTATACTGATAAACTTATTATATTTTATTGTCATATTGAAGATTTTATTACTATTTTTTTTTCTATTCATTTTAATCCAAAAATAATTTTATTTGAATATAATAAATAAGATTTACAATCGAATAAAAAAATCCTTTTTTTTAAATATTTTTCCATAAATTTTCTCATCAAACAGGAAGAACCAGACTGAGAGAAAGTATCTAGTTGAGAGTGACGAGAGACTCGCCATCACTCTCACTCTAGTTTGCTACAGTTATTTATGTATCATACGTATACTATGAATAGATAAATCCACTTATTTGAATAAATTCAATAAATTCAAAACCAAAATTCTAGAAATTGCTCGACAAATATAGATACACGACTAAAAATCTAATTTCAAAGATAAGTCAGTAGAATAACAACGATTATCGATGAGTAATCTATAAATAATTGTCTAAGGAAAATTTTGGATTTTGAAATTTACATTTGTAATGACAATAGATAAACACGATGAAGACAATGATAGTAGTTAAGAGACAGTTTTTTTTTTCATTTTAGTTTGCTATTTCCATAGTCAGAAATAGTTTGATTCTGTATATTAAATAAATGATTACTATAAGCTAATATTTTAGGACCAGTAACTTTTATTTTCGAAAGAAAAAACATTCAAGCTTCACAAAAATACTTGCATCATCAAACCCGGCATAATGAAATGGTTTATATAGATCTCTGAATTGATTGACGCTGATCTTGAGGGTGTGGATGCGGGTGAAAGACAATTAGTCAAGGGGGAAAAGCGAGACTTCATCCACTTTAAAAAAATCTGAAGTACGTGAAGTACGATGAAAGTGCGGTGATGTACGTGAAGTGCGAGTGAAGTATAAGTGAAGTACGAATAAAGTACAAGTGAAGTACAGTGAAGTATGGTAAAGTACGAAGTCTCGCTTTTTCCCCTTGCAATTCGTACATCATCATTATTATTGATCTATTTTATTCATGTATTTGTGCAACATGTTATATTCATGTGATAAAAATATCGATTGTATCAAACATAATACAAAAGTGCGTTAGTACCTGATTGTTTTCTTTGTGAACAAAAAAGAAAGAAAAAAACAAATTATTATTAAGTTTTTCTCTACTATCTCTACAACACGTGCTTATGTAATAAAACTAATCAATAACCTTATTATTGATAGAATAATAGGTTACTCTCTTTTTCTATTTTTTAAGTACTATCGAGGAGAACAAAACATGTCCTTTCCGTATCTTACCTCTGTCATTATCTCTTCAGAATATACGACGTAAAAAAAGCCATGAGTAATCCTTATATACGTAGAACAATAGTTAAGCATTGTGTATCTTTTTTTTTTTTTGTACCTATTGATGATATCTTGAAATATTATTGGTTACACGTTTCGCTTGGCAAATGAAGTAATTGGTATATTAGTATTTCTTCTCTTTTTTCTCTATACCACAAACAAATATTTCTTCTCTATCCCATCAATACATCATTAGTGATATATAAATACAGTTTTTATTCATTTTTTTTTACAAAACTTCGCAAATGCATCATCAACAACAATACGTCATCATTCAACTGGTCTGTGTAGCAATTGCCATCCTTTCAGTTGCGCAGTGTTACACAACACAAAATAAAAAAAATGTTTGTGATGCCAGTGAATGTCGAACTCCTCTTACTGGATTGCAGAACTCTAATCGATTCACATCTTCAGACTATGTTAGAAATCTCCTCAATCCAGATTATTGGATAAAGACTCCTGGAGGCAATGTTAGTTACTTCAATCTTTCCACCACACCCGCTTTAGCTGGCATAGGTATATCTTTCACACTAGTCATGCTGGAACCCTGTGGTATCATCTTGCCTCACATACATCCTCGTGCCTCCAAGGGTGTCTACAGTATTACCGGAAAATCTCTTCTAGTCGGTTTTATCCAAGAAAATCGCGCACAAGTTGTCCTCAACAAAATTACCATTGGATACGTTGCTGCAATTCCCAGAGGAGCGATTCATTTCATACAGAACTTGGATTGTTCTCCTTCTATGCAAATTGTTGGTTACAACAACGAAGATCCTGGTCTATTGACATTGGGTTTGAATATGTTTCGTTTTCCCGATGGTCCTTTATCAGCTGCTTTCGATCAATCCGAAGATTTCATCGATAACTTGAGAAAAAAAATTCCTGGTTATCCTCTGGATGTCAACAAGGCTTGCAGAAAAAAATGTGGATTATCTCCGTAACACGATGAAGACAATGATAGTAGTTAAGAGACAACTTTTTCACTTTTTTTTTGTTTTCAAATCAAAATATTTCAAATAAATTTCTATAATATTTCTCACTCTAATAAAGCAAAAAATGAGAACTACAACTATATACATGGCAACGTCTTTCCTCATAATGTGATCAGTTGATTTTGATCGATAACAAGATTTTGTTTTATTTTGTCAACGATTTTCTCAATCAAATCATGATGAACTTCATAACTTGTATGAGCATGTATTGTACGTTTATTAACATCAATTACATCTGTAATAAGTTTACTAAAACGAATAATTATTTTATGATGACCATATTGATAAAGCATATAATTACTTCAAAAGCATGAATATACTAAGAATTATGAAAAAAGAAAACAGTATTACGAAGTATTCAATATGGATATAAACTACTAAGATCATGTAAATTTCGTTAGATAAGCGATTGTTGTTCTTTGATACAAAGTGCTTGGAAATCACGTAGCAGATTTAATACTGGTATATGAGATATAGACTAAAAAAAAAAGAATATATATTCTTGAAAAATATCTCGAAAGTTTTAAGTAAAACTCGACATAGTATTCTTGTTTTATATTTGGACACTTTATTTTGGTTAAATTTAGTTGTTGATGATGATTTTTTAGAAAATATAGTTCTTCCTTATAAATCAGATTGCTACTCATACTAACTGAAAAAAGAAACATTTAATAAGACGACATAATGCGCAGAGACATGTCTTAATAACATATTCACTTCACATTGACCATTACAGCGACATAAATGAGTTGTCTATTCAAACATATAACGATATTCATTAGAAATAATGTATAGAATTATAAGAAACGACAAACTTCTAGATGAAAAACATTACGACGAAAGAATGTTTTATATGATTGAGAGGATAATATTCCGTATTTTTTAACATGAGCTTTATCAACACAGACTAGTTTACAAACATAATAGAATTGCTGTTGAAAATAACAAAGTCGAAAATAAAAAATAATATAGAATTTGCTATGAATACAATGTATATTAAAAGATCTTATCTACTATTCTTCTTGTCTATAATTTGATTTTACTGAATAAGATTATGAAATTAGTATTTACAAAGATCCATCTCACTCTTATACATGACATTTCTAAAATTTATGAATATTCGAATAATTCTCTGAGAATATAAGACACATTAATTAAACTAATCAATATTTGTAAGTCTTGTCTATTTAACAGTAAACGATGTAGTTATTCTTCTAATTCTTTTTATATATTTCCTTGACTCTTCGTATTTTTTTAATTTTTATTGTGTCCTTCTCTGACATGCGTTTCACTTGTCTTTTTCTTTTTCTGGCTTGTGCGTTCTTTGACATAAAATATGTACCTGTGTTGTTTTTCTCTTCAATCAAACGTACATGTATGTTGTTATTTTAATTTCTTATTATAGCTCACTACATTGTTAATTTAGTTAGTTTCGAAAACATTTTGAGGATATGAATGTTGCTATGATATCTATAACGGATTTTAATGTGATTAAATTGTGTGTGAATAGTTAAGGGACAGTTGTTACTTGATCATTGCTCTGATTGTTCTTTAATATACTTCGATCAATGCCTAGTTCCGTTACTTGTTGAATAGATCTTTATTTCAACACTATTATTAGTTCACACAAACATTCTTTTTATCAACCAACTTCAATATTACATTCGAATCAAGTGCACATATAAAATAAAAAGGAAAGAGAAAATTATATCAAGAGTTGATCGATAAGCGTAGATGAATAACATCATTGAAGATTAATATCATGTAAAAATGATAAGTGCAAATGGTATCACATTAGAATGATATTGAATGAATGTGATGTCATGGAAGTTTATATAATTCAGCTCTTCCAACTTCAAAATTAAGTATTCTTATTATATTTGTATCGATTATAATAATTACATTTATTAAGAATGATTTTTAATTTTTTCTTTTGAAAGACGTGATATTTCAAAATAATAAAATAATGTTGAAAGAATATACACAGGAAATCAATAAATGAATGTGACTCTTTTATTCATAAATACACCATTTTGAGAATGTGAATGTAAGCAGTGGTGGTGAAGCCTATAGACTCGGTGAGGCTTGAGCCTCACTTGTTTTTGGTTTCTATAGGCTTAGTCTTACCTGATTTCAGTTCATACAGACTGCAGATCAGTCAAATTATCGATTTCAGAATCTGTCAACTTCAACTTTAAGCATATTTGTGATTGAAGTCATTTTTCAAACTGGAAATTTAATAAGTTTCAGAGTTTTATTTTATATTTAGTAATGAAAAGAACAGAAGATCTGAAATAATAATGAACCCATTAATTGTATCGTCATGATTCAGATTGACGCTTTCTATACTACATTCATATAGTGAAGTTCTAAATAAATGAATAATTAGTAGAATTATTTGGTAGCACGAATTAAAATCTAAATAATATCTAATAATCCGATTGTTTTCTATTCTTTGATAGA